AACATTTTGTTGAGAACGTATGATTGGTAAGTTGGGTGAAGCTCAAAGCCAAAAGTTAGTTTAAAACATTAAACTTATTTGTGCTCATTTTCACATAACAGTTTAGTAGTATTTGATATACTAGTTTATTACTGCTATAATGATATGTAAAAAGCAGGTAAGAGACACAGATTGAATGTAAAAAAATGAAATTTAATAGGACTCCAAAACTAATTAAAATTGAAGTAGGAGTGAGGGAAGAGATGATGTCCTGGCTTACTAAAATATGTGAAAATGTTAGAGGGGGTTAGGTTATAGCTCACTATGAATTAATGTGAGATAGCCTCCAAAACAGCTGAAATCCTAGATTGCATTAACAAAAAGGTGAATATTTAGACTGTGGGAAGTGAGAGTCTGCTTGGAATCCTAAGTTTTTTGGCATCTTACTTAAAAAGGTGTAAAGAAAACTGCAACTCACTAAGAACAGAATGAATAGAATGGTGAGACTGAAACCATGCCACATCGGGAACACTGGAAGGTATGGGGAGACATAGCTTTCTCCAGAAGGACCCAAGGGCTGGAAAGGGAAGAATCTGGATGTGCAGAAGTCCTTGGGGGTTTATCCTCTAATTTTATTTGCTTTCTGCTGCCTTTCACCCCTGAAATCAGTAGGCCTGCCGAGTGGGGGCCTTGAGGCCAGGGGAGTCACTTCACGTAGCTTGTTGTGTGCTGATCAGGAGAGAAGTTTGGGGTAGCTGCCTGCTCTGGACAATGATAATCAGACCTTCTCCAGGGTCAGCACTACTTCTCAGAGCATAAAAGTCAAGATAGCTCTGTGTGGCCTGAGTCAAGAGAGCATCATTTGATGGTGGAGAAGTAAGAGTCAGATGAACTTCCTGACAGTGAGGACAAAGGTGGTTGTGGCAGAACTCAGACCCTTGGTAGTTCAGGAGGAATTTGTCTCCCTTTCTCCGCAGGCTTGCTGTAGCAGAGAGTATCAAAAAGCCCTAGTGTCCTTTCTACAGTATCCCAGGTCTTTTGTAATAGTCCATACCCAAAAAAGGCCTGAAAAAAAGGCCTGAATTTATAGGGTAAACTTTTGGTACTTGTCTTAGTAGAATATAAATTTCTTGAAGGAAAATAGCTTATTTATCTCTGTAATTGCTACACTAGCTGTTAAAGTGCCTTGCAGACTTGAAACTTTCTATGTAAAAACCTCCTTAATAGATTGTAGGCCTTTCTAGGATAGAGTGGTAACGGTCTTGTTGATTTTGGTGCCCCTAGCACCTGTCATGTTATCTGGCACATGGTAGTACTCGGTAAATTTGGAATAAATACATTGTGGAGAACTGTGATCCATCAAATGCTCAGAATTTGAGGATAGCTGTAAAGTCCCTCTTTTTATCAGCATCTTTCCCCTCTCCTTTGGTCTCCTCACTCTTGACCTTACTATCTTAGACCCTTTTACTTGCCTGCTTTGTACCTCCAGTGTGATGTACTGATTAACTTCTCCCATCTATGATCTATCCTCTCCTAGGATAGTATATCTAAGGATAGATTTGGTAACAACCCCTATATTTCACCTCACCTTAGGACTGCCCACATCTATACATTGCCTCTCATTGGCAGCTCAGATATTAATCCTCCAGCTGAGCAATCACAAAATAGAGGAGTTCACTAGTGCCCTTATCTCTTTTCTTCTTAACAACCCTGATATGGGGGGGGGGGTTATGAAACTTGGGAATCTGCTAAGATATGTGGGAGCCCTGTCCTATGTTATCTAGCTGGCCAGCTGTGTAGCTGGAGACGTTGACCAGATATGTCTTCCAGCTCAATCTGATGGCAACCAGGAGTGTGGACTTGAGGGGAGCAGGAGGGGGGAATCTCCCAGGTTTCTGACTTGGATGATAAGTGTGTGGTGGAGGACTTCGAAATGTAACAGGGACTACAGAGGGGTACAGTCTTTGAGGGGAAGATTGATGAGTTTAATTATGGATGTCTTGAAAAGTATCTACATGGAGATATCTAGCACGCAATTGGGTAAAACTCTCTGAAAATCAGGGAAAAGATCAAATTTCAGAGTCCTTAAACCACGAGAATGAGCGAAATTTCCTTGGATGCAGTGTAGCATTTGATGTCAACTAAGAGCAGAACCCAGAATTTAGATGTAGAAGAAAGAGAAAACCATGAAGAGAAGACAGAGAAGGAATGATACGAAAGTAGGAAAAATCAGAAAAGCCCCGCACAGCAACAAAAACTTAAGGAAAAAAAATTTGAAAGAAAGAAGAATGTATCAATAGTGTCAAATATTGCTGAGTAAGATAAGAACTGGAAACTGCCCCTTGAATTTGATGACTGAGGAATCAAATAATCTTATTGAAAATTTCATTGGAATGGCAGGAGGAGAGGCCGCATTGCAATGTTTTGAGTCTGTATAGGAGATTCTCTTAAGTTTAGAAAAGGAAAGATAAGATGATAGTTAAATTCCTGTAAAGCCTGGGATGCAGGCTTTCCTCCTAATCCTTTAATGCCTGACCAGTCTCTCAAGAGTGCAACTTCTAAGACAGCCACAACAAGGACCTAGGACTTTCTTAGAAACCTAGGCCAGCACAGGTTCAGCAGACATTAGCTTTTCTGCTGCTTCACATACATTATATAACATTTATATGCACATCACCCTCCTGGGGGTATTCCAGATCACGTGTTCTGCAAGCTCTAATACTTTCTCTTTGTTTCCTGCTCAAAAAACTATTGCCGTAAGGTAAGTGAATGGTGACATTATTACAGAGCTAATCTTAACCCATCTATAATATATTTTTTTTAAAAAACTTAATCATATGCAATTTTGTTATTAATAACAAATTCTTTCTCCCCTCCTCTTTACAACTAAGCAAGCTATATCAGTATGCTGAGACTGTGGTTGATCATTTGAACTGAGTAGTAGTTCAGTAAAGTTGTTAATGCCTCCAAAAGCCTTAGTCTGAGTGAACCCAATGTTTCCCATTGGTTCTTGGTGTTCCCTGGCTAGGAATTCATGACCCCTGGATGTTTACTATCCTTAGACAGTAGCTTTCATTTTCAGCTTTCTACTACTAGTACTGTTTGGGGGGCCTTAACAAGATTTTCTCTGTGTCAGCACTGTCCTCAGTGAGTTTGAGGAAAATATTTTCAGACCAGAAAGCAAAAAAGCTGTCTGCTGACCCAGGTCTCTGACTTTGCCATCTTCTTTGTGTACTGCTCATAACTCACTTCCCACCCAAGTAAGTATATATGTAAGTGGATGTCCATGCCTCCATGTAGTTAGGGACTCCACCCTGACTCTCTTCCTCCACTCCCTAACTTTACTGTTGCTCTAGTCAGTACTAGGAAAAACTGTGTACTATATAGGAGGATATATAGCGCAGAGGCTGGCCATAGGGTTTTAGCATCTGGACTCTAACTATTGGTTCCCCCATTTTCTTCAAACTCTTCTTCCTAAAATCCTTCTTGAGGCCAACTCCTTATCAGGAACCCCCACAGGAACCTCTAGCCTGTTATTCCCTCCATCCTTGGTGGGCATTATCTTAATAAGCTTCCTCAGTTTCTCCAGAATACTAAGAACTAACTGACTTGGATGGAGAAACTGCAGATTGGAGCAAGCACAAATTTATTCTACTTTCTCTACGTGGAGTCCTGGGAACACAGGACTGGCCATCTCGCTAGTCCAGGAAAATAGCCATGTACCTCCAAAACTCAATTTTTGTTACACTGAAAATCCTGTTGTCATAAAATAATCATGATCCACCTCTGCTAATGGGCCCTTTCTGCAGCTGAAGTGTCAGTGTTCACCCTTCTGTCTGGGCCTTGGATTTCGCCCTTTTAAACATGTCTTTCACATATATTAATGTAGCACGTCCCAAACTGCTGTGACCAACTTCTTCTTCAACTCGCTTCTCTTTTCTGTTAAGAATACCACCATGTCCTCAATTGCCCATGCCGGAAACTTGGGAGTCCTCTTGACTCCTCCCTTTCTAACTGTCACCTAAATCCATTCACTCTGGCTCATAAATGCCTCAAACAAAATTGCACTATCCTAGTTGCCACCATTCTGCTCCAGGCAGCCTTCATCTTTCACCTGGACTACTGTGACAGCCTCCTAACTGGTCTTACTGCCTGCAGTCTCACTTCTCTCTTATTCTCCAGACCAGAAATATTTTTCAAAAATGCGAAGTCATCATTTTTATTCCCTGCTTAAAATTCTTCCGTTGTCCTTAGGAAAAAGTCCAAACTTTTGTAACATGTGTCTTATAAGGTCTCTTATGACCTGCCTCATCCTTGTGCCACTTTTTCACGTCACTTTCTCTGCCTCAGCCATGCCACTCTTTCAGTTCTTTTGCTGCCATATTCATCCTCACTTTCAAATTTCTGTACTTGTAATGCTTTAACTTTGGACTCATTCTTCTATATTTCAACCAGGTAACTTCTAATCATTCATTCTTTATAATGAAGCTTAAATATTACTTCTTTAAAGAAAATTTTTCTAAATCCTCGAACTAGATTAGTTGTCCTTGCTGTGTACTCCTATAGCACCTATATTTTTCCTATATTAGCACTTAGTGCATTTTAGTTGTTATTACTCCTTAAATCCCTAGACTTTAAGCTCTCTGAGGAAAGTAACCCTTCTGTCTTGCTTGCTCTTGTGAACTGTTCAGAGATGGAATGAACTGTCTCGGGAGCTTGTTTCCCGTCACCGGTAGTGTTCATGTGTAGGTTGAATAGCTCCAAGCTGGGACTGAAATAGAGAACCATTGGAAAGCCTGTAAGTCCTTTCCAGTCAGGAGGTTGTTTTTTCCAAGTAATCAAACATACGTATGGAACTGTTTTTAAAAATTTTATAATTCAATGTAGAAGAATTTCACCTATTGAAAATATTGAATATTCAATGATTAATAAGCATGTAGAGAACCTGAGAGATGTTTCTAATTTAGAGCGCTGTATCTGGAGTTTTTTTAAATTAATGTTGTATTTTGCATCTCTTATAGGTGAAATGAATCAGAAGTACAAAGAGCTCAAAAAAAGGGAGGAAAGTATGGACAGTAAGTAATAATCTTATAGATATGAAAATACTGTATTCTCAGACAGCTGTTCATTTATCCCAAATCAGAGGTCTCATTTTGGGAAGATACAATGGCTAACAGTAAATTCAAAAGTGTGGACAGTCAAAGCATTTGCCTTGAAGAATAAATATCTAGCATAGTTTAGGAATGGGTAGAGACTTCTGAAAAGGTTTTGTCTGTGTGTCTGTGTGGATGAGTGTTTGTATGTTAGGGATAGATTCTAAAGCTAATACTCACATGATAGTCTGTACAGAGTCTGTAGACTACTTGTTGATTGAACAGTGAAGGCTCTCTTTTATGTGTTTCACTATGTTCACCTGTAAATATCTTTCACCCTCTTTTTGACTTTTTATCATACTTATCCCATTATTTATTAGCCCTCACTTCAGGTCTTATTACTTGATTTTATCACTAACTGCAACTTTAGTAGCCTTCTGTTGCAGCTTCTCATTCACTTTTTTTAAAATCTTGACAGTCTAAATAGATCTTCACTTAAATTTATGTTGTACATTCAGAAATTTTTCAAAATTGCCTATTATCTATTACTGGTTTCCTTTTTAAATTATCATTTTGCTAGAATCTGAAGTTTTATTAGGTCTAATGTCAACTGTTTCCTTCATAAAAGCATGCTCTAAAACAGTAATTACCAACTCTGATTTAACAATATCCCAAGATTTCTTTAAAATCTCAGCAAGTACCAAAAATTGTCTCAAAATTAATTCATTGTTTCTTGCTAGCAGTAAAATTATTTATTTATTTTTTTATCTTAAAGATTGGCACCTGAGCTAACAACTGGCCAGTCTCTTGGTTTTTTTTTTTTTGCTTTTTCTCCCCAAATATCCCCCAGTAGATAGTTGTATACTTTTAGTTGTGGGTCCTTCTAGTTGTGGCATATGGGATGCCACCTCAACATGGCCTGATGAGCAGTGCCATGTCCGTGCCCAGGATGTGAACCAGCGAAACCCTGGACCGCCACAGTGGAGCATGCAAACTTAACCACTCAGCCACGGGACCAGCCCCCCAGTAAAATTATTTTTAACTGTAATTTTTTACTTTTGAAAGATCCATAGAAATACTTTGAGAATGTAAATAAGGGCAAATTATGTACTGGTTCTATATTAGACAACAAAAATGATTTCTTAGAATATTTGTTTATAATCTGAATAAATTATTAAACTTATTTAGCTGATATTAATGCAGCATAAGTAAAATACTCATTTTCAGATAAAATAGGTAATTAGTAATATTATTTTCCGAAGTAAAGTTAGTGGCTAATTATATGTTAATAATTATGGATATATCAAGGAGATCACATGTAAAAAGAGATTTTTTCTGATCTCCATTTTATCAACTATTTCTTCCGCTCCTGTATTTTAAAATTTTTAGTTTACTTGTATTAAGGTTATAACTGTTAAGCTTTAAAAGTTTGAAAAAGCATAGAAATATTCTTATTGAGTAATTTAATTACCCTTGGGTTAATAAAAAAATTAAACCGTGATAGTTTAAAATTTGCTTTAAATTTCTAAAAAGTACTCTTAAGACCTACAAATCAGAGTTTATATATTGTTAACTGTATCACTAGTAGCCTCTCTTATCATATTTTTCCATTGGCAGCTTTTATTGAGACTTTTGAGGAAACTAAGAATCAGGAGCTGGAACGGAAGGCGCAGTTAGAGGCCCACATTGTCGCCCTTCTGGAGCACTGTAGTCGAGTAAGTGCCGTGTGCTTGTCTTGACGTCCTCATTATTCTTACTGTGATCACCTTTCCAAACACAACTCAAAACCTGCATTGGTTCACTATTACGTCTACTCATTTAAACTGTTTCCTTTAGATTCCCTTGCTTGTTATTTTATTTTATTTATTTTTTTTGGAGGGGGAAGATTAGCCCTGAGCTAACTGCTGCCAATCCTCCTCTTTTTGCTGAGGAAGACTGGCCCTGAGCTAACACCTGTGCCCATCTTCCTCGACTTTATATGTGGGAAACCTGCCACAGCATGGCGTGCCAAGTGGTGCCATGTCCACACCTTTATTCTTTAAGCTATTGATTTTTATCTTTATAACAAAATTCAGCTAATTAGGATGATGGGGAAAAGGATGACATATGTATAATATTAATATGCAGCAGTAAGTGAGGGACTAATTCAGAGTAATTATTAAGATTTTTCTTCTTTTCTTAATTATTAACATTTTCAGTTAATTTATCTGAACTTGTAGAAGTAAGATTTGCGCAGATAACTTCAAAATCTAGATATTATTTTGGAAAATGTTAGTATATTTTTACAATGTAATTTGTATTATAAATAGAAGAGATTCTTTTCTTGTAGGGATCTATGAGAGTACGAGATATCTAATGAATATCTTGATTTATCAAACGATGTTTATTGAGTAGCTACTACTGTGTGGTACCATAGGAAGAAGAATGCATCATCTCTTTTCAATATTCTAAGTGTTTTAAGACTCTAATCAGTTCCTGAAACAGTGTGGGTGAATTTTTTTCTACAGTGAAGTAAAGCAAATGTAAAAGAAACAATTCTAAATTTTAATTCAGCCTCTCTTTATTAAGAAAACCTGATTTGAGTCTCACTATATTTTTCTATCAAACATATGTAATGAATGATGTATTTCGAAAAAGAATACCCGTTCAAAACATGCAGTCCCTGAGCAGTGTTTTCCAAGAGTTTTATTCAAGCATTGTCAGTGGAATTTTTTCCATTTTTATTTCTCTGCAAATACAGAATATAAATCGTATGAAACAGATATCCTCTATCACCAATCAAGAGCTGAAGATGATGCAGGATGATCTCAATTTTAAATCTACTGAAATGCAGAAATCACAAAGTACAGCTAGGAATTTGACTTCAGGTGAGAAAACAATCTAGATTTTAATAACCTTTTTTTCTCATAATAAATTGGAACTTTTAAAGTCTAATGCTATTCACTTTGATGTTTTTTGAAAGACTGAGGATATAATTTATGATTGCCTATTGCTCCGGTCATGTATGGTCTCGGAATTTTGTGTGACTTTTCACATCAACTTAATGGTATTTTTGGAATATTCTCATTCGTTTAACATTTACTGAATACTTGCTTTATGCCTATGCTATAACTTGAGTATACAGAAATTTTTGAAAAATCCAGCCTATTTGCTCAAGGAACTTTCAACTCAGGGGATTGACAAACAAATAAATAGTTAAAATATAATGAAACGGGGGCTGGCCCCATGGCCGAGTGGTTAAGTTCGCACGCTCCGCTGCAGGTGGCCCAGTGTTTCGTTGGTTCAAATCCTGGGCGTGGACATGGCACTGCTCAGCAAACCACGCTGAGGCAGCGTCCCACATGCCACAACTAGAAGGACCCACAATGAAGAATATACAACTATGTACTGGGGGGCTTTGGGGAAAAACAGGAAAAAAATAAAATCTTAAAAAATATATATATATATAATAAAATGGTGCTATGATAGCAGCATAAGGAGCAGTGGAAGTATGTGGGGCTCATATCCATCCTAGTCTTCAGTAGTTAGGAGAGGTATCATAGAGGAGGTCATGTTTTAATTATAATCAGTTTAAGTCATGATGACTAACGTGAGACTAGAGCAGTACTGTTCAATAGAAATGTAATGCCAGCCATATATATAATTTTAAATTTCCTAATAGCCACCTTAAAAAAAGTAAAAAGAGACAGGTGAATTTTAATAATATATTTTATTTAACCCGTTGTATCCAAAATATTATCATTTCAACACATGATCAATATAAAAATGACCAATGAGACTTTATCATTATAGCACATCTCAATTTGGACTAGACGCATTCAAATGCTCCAAAGCCATTTCTGGCTAGGGGCTGCACTTTGGATAGTGCAGTTAGAGATTAGAAACAGATACACAAGATTGGGTTAAAGAGCCTAGGATAAAGTCATGTAAAAATTTGTATGGAATCTTTGAACTGGTGGATTCTAACTCTGGGTGTTCTTTGTGCTGGTGTGTGGTGACTTTGAATTAGTTATGTTTTTCTTTGTCTATTTGGAATTACTCTGGCAGTTAGTGGGATTATGGGGAATGAAGATAATATTTGCTAACTTAAAGTGCTGAACGATTCTTGAAATGCAATAATGGCTCCACAATATCCCTTTATCTGGAATCTCAAAATTCCAGAAAACTCTTGGCAACAAAACCTAATCTGATCTGAACTGACATGAAGCTGTTTATGGTCTTTATTATCCTGCCTAGTGTAGCTGTTCATACATGTGATGCAGAAATATTCACGTACTTGATGATAGGATGCTGCCTCAGACCCTGCTGTGGGAGTTATGTAATAATCAGTATATGCACTATTTTTCTTTTCTAAAATCTGAAGAATTCTGCATTCTGAAACACAACTGCCTAGGAGTTTTACATAAGGGATTATGGACCTGTAAATGCATACTGAATGCTGTTAATGTACAACTGACTTTAAATTGATGATGTAAGTGGGCAATTGTTTTTATTCTATACATCTAAGTATATTTTATCTGCCCAGATTTGTTTAGTTTGTTTCCCGTTCTTTTATTTGTATATCTGAATTATATGCCAGGCAACTAGAGGAGATACATTCTAAATTTGATTTATAACTACTACTATTTGATTCATAACTACGATTTATTAATTGCGATGAAAACCATATAACATAAAACTTGCCATCTTAACTACTTTTAAGTTTATAGTAAACTGTCTGCACATTGTTGTGCAATGGCTCTCTCGAACTTTTTCATCTTGCAAACCTGAAACATGCCCATTGAAAAACAACTCCCCATTTCTCCCTCCCCCTGAGTCCCTGCTAACCACATTCTTCTTCATGTTTCCTTGAGTTTGACCACGTTAGATACCTCATAGAAGTGGAATCACGCTATGCTTGTCTTTCTGTGAATGGTTAATTTCACTTGTAATGTCCTCAAGCTTCATCTATGTCGTAATGTGTGACAGGATTTTCTTCTTTTTTAAGGCTGAATAATATTCCATTGTATGTACATACTACATTTTCTTTATTCATTCATTTGTTGATGGATATTTAGGTTATTTCTACCTCTAGGCTATTGCGAATCATGCTGCAATGAATACAGGTCTGCCAATATCTCTTCAAGATCCTTTTTTTAAATTCTTTTGGATATATACGACTATGAGTATTTTTACATCTTTATTTTCTTTTTCCTATTTGCTAAAGAATTTTATGTTTAATTATTCCATCTAGGAAGCCTCTGCTTTGTGTTTTAGACCATAGTTTTAATTTTTTTATTTATCTAAGGCCAGTATTACTTCAACATGTTTTTGCTTCCTTTAAGCTATCTTTGTGTAATGGCTGTTGAGAAACATACATTTTTTAAAAGGTAAATATCAGTAAAAGGAAACAAATTCAATTATCAGGACTTTTTATTCCTTTCGTCATTTTGTTTTGACATTTCCTTTTAAAAACTAGTCATTATATTTTCTCCAGAGATGTAGAATTGAAAAAGAATGAGAACTGGCTTCAATGGAAATAAAAATCCAGTTTATTACTATGATAAGAATTTTGCTGAAAATTTTCCTTATTAAGGTTTGAATCCTTCGACCCTTACAATTAATTTTATTTACTCAATTATTTTTAAGTGTTAATTTAAAAGCAAGCATATAAATTATTTTTTTCTCTCTTTCCTTAACACCATCTCCCACAAGAAATTTCTTGTATCTGGAGATCGCCCTAAGAGGTTTATAGCATTCTTGTTCACCTTTCAGAGATAATGAATTTGACATTCCGCTATTGTGAATTGCTCCCTTTCAGCCCTTGATGTTATAATTGGAACTCACCTGATTTTCTTAGTGTACTCTGTGTTTCTTAATGGGGCAATAACACTCCCAAGGGGGCAAAATTACTTCTTAAAGGGAGGGTAAAAAAAATCTTGGATATTGTAGTGGTTTGTGGCCCTCCAAAAGGTCACTGTACAGAAACAGATACACAGCACATCTGTAATAGAAAAATTTTATAGGAGGGAGATGATTGGGGAAAAAAAGTCTACAAATGGCTGCTTAGAGGGACAATAATGAAAAAAAAGATTGAGAAACACTGGTGTACGGCATCAGTAAAGACACAAGGATCTGTCAGCAATCGTTTTTATTTATATTTTTGGAAAGGAAACTCCAGGGAATAAACAAATGGGCTGATGGCACAATATTTCACAAGCATTTGCCCAGGTCAAAGTGGTTCCTTCTGAGGTTTTGCTACTGTGTACACACTGCTTGGTAAACTTTGCAACTTCATAGCATATCAGAAGGAACTAGTCTGCATCCTCTTCCTGTCTCTTCCCTTAGAGAAGCTTTTAGCTTTTCATGGGGACCTGCTGTTAAAGGAAGATAAACTTTATACCAACCAACCGTTTTCTCCCTTTCTCTAGGAAAAGCAGTTTGTAATAGCTACTAAATATACTTTCCTAATATATCTTCAAATTAAACTTGTAGTTAGATTTATATAACTAGTTTCACCAGTCAAAATGTACAAGCTAAGTACGTTTCCTGTTTATTCAGAGCATTGAAAACCATAAGCCTCAGTGCCTTTGCTTCAGCACTTTGATTCTCATCTTAGCTATTTCCACCCAGCAGAGACACGGATCCAACAAAACAAAGCCCTCTCGACAACGTTTAAGTCCATATATATGTTTTTAAATATATATTTCAATATGGTTGAACCTTAAGACTTAAAGGGACAAAAGGAAATGTTCAGGTTTAATTATACCAAATTAAAGCAAATTATATCACCTTAAAACAACCTCCTTTCTTAAATCAATGTCTTTTGAAGAGTTTTTTTTTTTTACTATTTGATATTTTATACTTTATGTGATCATTGTTTTATTTGTAAGCAGAGTCACTCAATTCTTGAACATGAGATTTTTATTGTTATGTCACCTTCCAGGTATATGTTAATCAATAATCTTTCCGGTTTCATAGGTAGAAGAGGAACATTTAATAGCAGCTTGATGTTTGATTTCCCATTAGAAGAGAACCTGGATAGATAATGAAACTTAATTCCCAGGAAATTTTGCTAAATCTTATATTAAGAAACCTACTGATTGCCTGCTCACATATTAGGGGCACGTCCTGGTAAGAGGGAGACTAAGTGCCAAAGTCTGTGTGTAAACTCTGCCAAGTCCTGATCTGACTGCTGAGCCGTGTCTTCGTGGGGTGGACTTTCGGGGACCCAGGAAAAGCAGCAGCTGGAAGTTGGAAGAACTCAGTACGGAGATGTCAGGTGCTGCCCACTCCAAAGGAGAAAAGTGTTGAGTTTCAGTTCAGCAAAGTTTATTGCTCATGTATGATGTAAATCAGCACTCTTCACAGGAGCGCAACAGAATCCAAAGTCTCTACAGCATAGCATTTAAAATGTCTATTATGCAATAAAAATTTACTAGACCTGTGCAGAAATGGGAAAATGTGAGTCAAGGGGAAAGCAGTCACTGTAATACACTCGACCTGAGATACTCCAGATGGTGAAATGAAAAGAAAAAGACTTTCAAAGTTTATAAACATATTTAAGGGCTTAGAGGAAAATAAAATCATAATAAATGAACAGATGGAGAATCCCACAGAGAAATGGAAATTGCAAAAGGAACCAAGTGAAAATTCTGGAATTGGAAATCTAACTAAAATGAAAAAGTCACTAAATGACCTTAATGGAGGATGGAAGACAGCAGAAAAAATGTCAGTGAACTTGAAGATAGAGGAATAGAAATTATCCAGGCCAAAGAAGAAATAAAAATGAACAGGGCCTAAATGACCTAATAGACTATTTCAAGCAGTCTAACATACATGTAATTAGAGTTCCAGAAGGAGAGGAGGAACAGAGCAGGGGGGAGAAAAGATAGTTGAAGAAATAATGGCCAAAAATTTCCCAAATTTGATGAAAAACTTAATTTTACATATCTAAGAAGCTCATTAAACTCCAAACAGGATTAATATAAAAACTCCTCACCTAAGCACATCGTAGTTAAACTGTTGAAATGCAACAATAAACAGAAAACCAGGAAAGAAGCTAGAGAAAAATAACATGTATATACAGAGAACAATACATTTCACTATAAGATAAATTTTGTCTTAAAAATTGATTTGGATTTTGTATTTTACTCCAAAATGTTAACATAGAAATCTTTCACTCCTAAATCCCTAAGTAATAAAAGGAAGATGTTCGTGTGTGGCTTTTGACACTCTGAAATACCACATATTTTTCTGAGGGTACTCATATCCCTACTTGAAAATAGAGGAAAAGTGAAGGCCAGGGACCGGCCCAGTGGTGCAGTGGTTAAGTGCGCACATTCTGCTTCTCAGTGGCCCGGGGTTCGCCAGTTCGGATCCCAGGTGCGGACATGGCACTGCTTGGCAAGCCATGCTGTGGTAGGCGTCCCACATATAAAGTAGAGAAAGATGGACACGGTTGTTAGCTCAGGGCCAGTCTTCCTCAGCAAAAAGAGGAGGATTGGCAGCAAATGTTAGCTCAGGGCTAATCTTCCTCAGAAAAAAAAAATTTATAGTTCCACTATCAAGAGTTTAGTACTATTAAAATCTTGACATTTATGTGCCAGACTTTTTTCTATATTTTATCCCGTCCTGGAAAAAAAGAAAAAGCCTTTCTAAGTATTCTCTCCCCAGTTATCATCCCTCCCTTTCAAAGGTTTCACAGCCAACTTTCTTAAAACGGCCCTCTTATTCTTGGTCCCATTTCTTCTCAGCAGATATTAATTAAATAAAGTGTCCTCCTGGTCAGTGAATCCAACACGTATTTTAGTCTTTTTTTTTAATTTCTAAGAAAGATTCTGCACTACAAACCATTCTTTTATTTTTGAAACGTCTCTTCTCCACGGCTTCTGATTTTTCTCTTATTTATTATTGCTTATTCTCCCTTACAGGATCCTTCATGTTTGTTTATCCTTTGAAAATTTAGTTCTGTTATGAATCCTTTTCTCTTGATTTCAACCATTCCCATAGCTTCGCTTGCCATCTTTATGCTGATGATTTCAAAATCTGCATCTTCAGACCTCGCCTTTCCCTCTGGACCTCAGACCCATATATCTATACATGGACATCTTTACTTACCTCTGTTTGGATGTTTCTGAGATATCTCAAACATGATGTATCCTAAACTGACTTCAACCCATAATCTCATTCCCTTCCACAAACAAAAGCTTATATGTATCTCCCTCTGTCTATCCTACCATCCATTCATTCAAATTTGCCTACTCAAATTAATTTGTAACCCCAAATCAATAATTGCAGCACTTTCACAGTCATTTGTGAAAATGCAGAGTGGTGAAAAATTTGAGTTGCCTGCCTTGTGCATCCCCAGCGGAGATCCAAAGAGACAACACTCTGCCTTCTTGTTTTAGTCCTCATACTATAAACATGTATCCTTTTCACAGTGTATTTAAGGTCAATTTTTTCCTCACGTTTGTGCTTTTTCTTGGTGATTTTGTTATTTAAAATGGTGCCGAGCCGAGTGCTGAAGTGTTGGCTAGTGTTCCTAAGCGCAAGGAAGCTGGAATATGCCTTATGGAGAACACTTGTGTGTTAGATAAGCTTTGTTCAGACATAAGTTGGCAGTGAGTTCAATGTTAATGAATCACACATGAAACAAGGTTATGTATTAGTCGGTTGATGAAAATATTGTGACTAGAGGCTCACAGGAAACTAACCATGTGTTTCCTGGAGGAGCAATGGTTCCGTGTTCGCTAACTCAGTGTTCACGGTGACTTTGTAGACTGAGCCACAAATAATGAGAATTGACTGTGTATGTAATTAAAAATCTTGCTCAAATATACGTAATGTTTTGTAACTTGCTTTGTTCCCCAAATGACTGTGTGTTTGTGTCATGCCCTCATTAAAAATAATGGGTCTTTATGTCATATTAAATAAGGAAAAAAACCTATGTGTGTTCTTAAATGTTTGTGTGAGCGTGGAGACAAGTGTGGCTAATATGCATCAGCTTACAGCAGTTGCCTGGGGGGTGAGTGGTTTTTTTTCTTAATTTATCTTTGTATTGTTTCACTGGTTGCATTGGAACATGTGTTTCTTTTGTAAAACATTTTTCATGGTTGCGTTGCATTTCTTTTTGTGAAAGGAATAAAGTTTGACTATTATGGCCTTGAACCTTCGTTTGTTACAGATAGTCAGCGTCTACAGTTGGATCTACAGAAAATGGAACTTCTGGAAAGTAAGATGACTGAGGAACAACATTCTCTGAAAAGCAAAATTAAGCAAATGACAACTGATCTGGAGACATATAATGATTTGCCAGCTTTAAAATCATCAGGTGAAGAAAAGAAAAAGGTAAATGGTAACAGTCTTACAAAATTATAATCCAGTTTTCTCCTGATCAAATTTAATATCTATGTAATCTATAGAATTTGTTATTTTCAGTTGATTTTTTGATATATAAGCTAAGAAAAAATAAAGACATTTACAAATGGAATTTAGAGTGATTTAAGTTTTAAACAAAAGGCAAAAATTGAAAAGCAAGGGATAGAGCATTTCAACAAATATGAACTTTGTTAAATGCAGATTAGATTGTGGTATTTCCCTAACTGAGACCTGTCAGTGGCTTTTCAGTGGCATTTATATTAATGTAAAGTAAATTTGGTGGTGTAGGAACAGATATGGCAGCCTTAATAGAGTTATTATTAATACAGTTAATATTAATTTAGCATATTATAGTTCAAAGGATATTTTTAGAAACAGGTTTTAGAGTAATTATAGCCTTGGTAGAATTTTAACAGAATGTCATTGAAATTATTTGTCAAATATGACTTATATCGGCTTACTAGATATTTGCTAAAGGCTGTTATTTCTTCCGTACCTCTCTTTGGATCTACCTAGAAGTTACATCAGGAGAGAACAGTATTATTGACCCGCAGAAATGCCTTTAAGAAATTAATGGAGAAGCTAAACGTAGAATATGAGGCACTAAAAACACAATTGCAGGAAAATGAGACGCATTCTCAGGTAAAAAGAAAGAAAACGACTCTGAATTTCACTTCTGTTTTTAAACTATCTGTCCTGTTCTTTTAATCTATATTTTCACTCTACAACAACCTTTTTCCATTTTTTTCACCTCTTTATTTACCAACCAGATTTTCTGACTTTAAAAGTAGCCAGTTCTGTACAATGTCCACTCAGAACAAATTTACTCCTGCATTCCTGCTTTCTATGAACCTGTATTGAAGGCCTACTCTACGCTAGGCACTGTTCTGGCACAGCCATTAATGATAACAGCTTTTAAAAATTTTAGAAGGAAAGCATTTTTGGGGCCAGTCCAGTGGCTTAGTGGTTAAGTTCACAAGCTCCGTTTTGGTGGCCTGGGATTCATAGGTTTGGGTCCTGGGCGCAGACCTGCACACCACTCATCAAGCCATGCTGTGGCGGTGTCCCACCTACAAGATAGAGTAGAATTGGCACAGATGTTAGCTCAGAGCCAATCTTCCTCACCAAAAAAAAATAATAATAATAAAGCATTTTTAATGCAGAAACTTTGCTAACTCATAAAAACCACAGATAAAGAAAATAAACCCTAATGACTAGTATTCCACCACTCAGAGGAGACAGATCTTGTCATTTTGTATAGGTCCTTCTAGTTTTTATGTAGATATTATGTGTACACAAACTTTATATATATACATAAGTACACATTTATTTCTGTATATTTATAGAAGTAGTGTCATTTTGTACATATTTGGAAACTTGTCTTTCATTATTAACTATACATCATAAGTACTTTCCCTTGTCAGTAGATATTGTTTTTAAATATGATTCTATATAATATTTGACTAGATGGAGATAGCATAACTTGCTGATCTAATTCTGTATTGTTGGACATTTAGGTTATTTCTAGTTTTAAAACTGTTCAAATAATGCTATAAAGAGCAGTCCCAGCCTTGAACTTCTTGAGTTACAGCTCTGATTATTTACACAGGATGCACAGTCAAGCCCACTTTTCCTATCACTCGTCCTGCTGGTAATTGCCTGACCTTGTCTGACTGAGGCCTTGTAGAGTGAGAGCTCTGTCTGAGAGGCGAGATGACGTCTGTCTCGTTCACTTTCCCCCATCCTGTGCTGGTTGTTGTCCCATAATAGGTGTTCAATAAGTATTTGTTGGAGCATTAAATGAAGCATGTATGACATGTACAAAATTATGGTCTGATAAAAATTGGTCATTCTCATATCTAACTAGTCTATATTAGCAATTTACACCTATGATTTATTAATGCTAAATGCATTAAAATTCTTCTTCCTTTTCTTTATATAGTAATATGATCTTTATAGACAATCATCATTAACATTTTGGTATAATACCCTGGTAAACTTTTTTCCTTTGCAATTATGCATCCAATTTAAATTATTATTATTATTTTTACAAAACATGAAATCATTCCATGCATACAGTCTTTAAGCATTTATTTTCTTATTTAAATATTTTCAAATTCTTTTTTGACCACATTTTTATGACATCAGCTATTTGATACTATGGATGTACCATTTAAAAGAAAGATATATTCTTGAAAGGGATAATATCCCATGTGAGTTTGCCACAACTATGAAAAGCTTAGAAATCACTAATTTACATAATTCAAATTTATCAGTCAGTTATTCTGTCTCTACTTCATAATATACAAGCCTAGATGTGGACTTATAAGTGGCAAAATTGTCCTAGGCTGTGTACTGTGGTGATGGGTGCTGGAGAAGAAACCCAAGAAAAAGTTTATGAGGTCACTGTCTTAAATGGGTCTAAGGAAAAATATTATATTTCTTACGCAATATTGGCCCTCCTTTTCCACTGCATAGATGGTTTAAGGAGGAAAACACTTGCCACAGTTTCTTAGAGCCAGTCAGTGGCTACCTTGTTTATTCCCACATTAAGTGCTAATCATATTCTTAACCATGTATACTGATAATAGGAACTTGTACCATAAGTCACAATTTACAAGCCATCTCTGTATTTGTTGACTTTTGTGAATCCCAGCTGATCAAATCAAATCCTGATTTCCCTATCTTTTGCAACTATTTTCTTTAAAAATGGTTTTTGACATTTATAAATAATTTTACGTAACAGGATTTTTTTTTAATGTATGGCTATTATTTATTTGAAATAATTTAAACATTTATATTGGAACAAACTGTAAAACTTCTAGAAGAAAACAGAGGAAAAGCTCCTTGAC